CTAAAGTAGCTCTTTCCTGAATGTCAACAAACTTGATTTGAGCTGTAATTGACTAGTAAATAACTATAATCAAATATAGATCTACATCACGATTTTGTTCTTTTAGAACAGCCAACAAACACTGACAAAATTTTTCAGAAAATTGTACCTCATCTGGTATTTAATATCGTACCTAGATTCTACCGTTAGACTGTAACTGAAATGTCTGGCGATAGCGCGGAAGGTCTGGGTACGGGACCAGCTGGTACCTTAAAGACCCTATTAGTTAATTACTGGTTCCTAAGGAAATTGTTTTTCTGCCTTTCTCTAAAAGCCTAAAAACTGAGCATTCAAGTCTGAAAACCTGATCATGGCCGGCCTTAAGATGCAATCCCAATTTGCGAAATGAATAAATTTCTTAAAGACCTAGCTAGAATTTAGCCGATGCACGTAAGTTGTTTTATATAGTGGGCTTTTGAAAGCCGAAGCTGCTTCTATGCTACTCGACTTGTGCTGACCGAATTTTCGGACAGTCGGACGTACAGTACTCAGCTCATACATTCCTTCCATTCACGCATCATATGCAGGCTTTAGAAGATTTTGTACGGTTTCGTATCCGTCATATATATCCTCTACTCAAAAGATGTTACGTGGCTGGTTCTGTACCAGGCTGACGCACTTTCTGAGTTGTGACTCAGCCGTGGTATTTCATGTCGTACTTTATTGTATGTGTTTTTGGCTATCGCTGTTTTCCATCGCAAACCAGTACAAGGACTGAGAATATATTCACAGTCATTTGTTTATCACTTGACGGGTTTATTTGGAACCAACATAATGGGTTAGCTCGGTTGGTAGTGCACTATGTCGGTGTCGTTGAGGTCATGGGTTCAAATCCCGCACAGGCCTCAATTTTTTTTCCAAGCCCTATTTTCACTACTGCTGTTAACTCTTTAAACCCTAAGAGTGACTAGCATCTAATAGCATCTAATTTCTCCTCACAATATCACCCCTGAATCACACGTTAAGGTCAGAAGAATGAAGGAAATGATTACCAAAAAAGAAAATTTTGATCAGTAAACAAAATCTCCTTGTCAGCACCTTAGGAAATGTCTAAAGAACAGTATGGAGAATATGCATAATGACATTGCCTTTATGTCGGACTAGAGTCGGACCGGTAGATTCACCGATTTGGCTCAAATTTTGCATGCATGCTTGGTTAGGGGTTCCAATCACGAAATTGATATTTTTAGATTGCCAATGTATTTTGCGTGGAAAGTTACGATTCATGGCCATTTGGAGCCCCTCTAGGACATGGAAACGAGGCTGGCCAAGAGCAACCTTCCTTTGCTTTCTCGTTTTTGTATCTTTTTTATTATAAAAAAATCTGCAACTTTTCCTCTGTATTTTGAATAGCAAATTCTGTAGAGAATATAAAGGGAAGGGTTGAAACGCGCCATTCAATTAACTCAGTTTTAGGTGTTTAAGATCCATGAAAAATACAGAAGTTCAGAAGCTTGAAGTACTATTGATATGTTGAGTTAGAACAGTTTGCTAGTTTCTAAATGTTAGCTTGCACTGCTCCTGTTGATACACGTGTTAAGTAAATTGAATATTCCTATTAATGACCTTCAAATGGGAAACCACGAAATGATATAGTACGCTTGGGCCGCCTGTGATAACAGTATTAGTGACTGCGCAATCCATTGGCACAAGCCTTCATTAGTGTTCAATGTATGAAAAATTTCCTCCGTCAATTCTTAAAAACTCCGGATCATCAGGTCTGAACTTTGATTATCAAAACCAGTTTCGGTAAACGAGACACATGGAGCCCCCTGCGTGATCGCCTTACGAGCCAATGTATAGTGTTACATAATTTAGACTTGCGCAAGGCACGGCACGGCACGGCAGGAAGTTTATGCAGTCACGAATGGGACATATAGGATTACAGAGCTTTTTCATGTTACTCAATAGCCAAAATCTTACTTCATATGCTTGTTCTTTTCATTTATGCTTGCAATGGCACTGACTACAGATACATTTTTTGAACGAATTGGGAGTTTTGGTCGCTTTCAGATTGCGCTCAATTTGTTTTTCAATCTGTGTTCTCTATTTTGGTGGGCTGTGCCAGTGACGATCATGGTGTTTATAGCTTCAGAACCCAACTGGAAATGCGTAAACAACTCCACTTGCCCATTCACAGACAGCATTAGTATCAGAGACGAGAGATACAACCACAGATGTAACATTTTGAGGAAAGACTGGAGATTCGAGGACGACTTTACATCAGTTGTCACTGAGGTTTGTGCTAAACGTGATCAAATTCGTGAAGAGTCTCTCGTTCTTATCCCCATAACCTTATTACAATATGTTTTACATTGCAAAATACCCTCTGACAATAAATGTGTGGAAATTATACATGTGAATCATATATATAAACCTCTGTCACTCCTGCTATTCTGGGAAAAGTTTAAAGTTGTAAGCCTTTCATTGATAAGGTTTAAGGGTTAGACAAAGGAGTCATATCTGATGAGATTTCAATTCACATATCTAATTTTTTTCCAAAATCACAGTTCGACCTTGTTTGTGCCCGCAGCTACTTGGGATTCGTATCAACCTCTGTGATCTTCGCAGGTTTCCTTGTTGGCAGTATTGCTATTAGTATTTTGTCAGACAAGTTTGGAAGGAAGCGGCCTCTCTTCATCTGTGGCTTTTTCTGCTGGCTGTTCAATTTTGTTTCCGCATTTGCTCCAACGTTTTGGTTTTTTGTTCTTTGCCGTAGCATAGTTGGCTTTATGCTGGGTAAGTTACATTTACCTCGAGCAGCTCGCCAGGTTATAGGGATACGGGATATTCGGGTAAACAATTATAGGGATACGGGAAAATTATTTGGGTAAAAAATTATATAGGGATACGGAGTATTCAAAAACAAGGTTCTGGTATATCGAAGATCGAAGTTCTCAATTTTAAAAGAATGAAATAAGCTTATTAGTCAATATGGAAGGCGCAAATAGTGGAAAAAATACTTTCAAATGCGAATTTTTACATTTTGCCTGCCATCAAATATTGTCAATATTGACAATAGCTGCCAATATCGGCTCTTGTCCGAGAACAACTCTCCCCCTCCCCCACGGCTTTTTCTATTTCGCAGTACTTTTGCGTGTTGCGATCTCCCGCCTCTACTGTTCAAGACGAACCTTATCGTATTTAACTAAGAAGAATACCACTGTTATATGGTTCAGTGCTTGGACTGTGGAGATCTGTTGACCGTCAGGGAGACTGGGAAAGAAATGTCAAATGAGTTAGCAAAAATGGAATTTGAAGAGATACTAGAGTTCAACCACAAGATCAGGAAGAAAGTCAAGGTGTCCAAGAGAATCATCGTTCTTATTTTTACTACTAACTCGAAACACAAGAAACCCTCGGCAGCAGCATCCATTACTCTCGCCTGGACGGAATACAAGTCGACGACGTAAGCACTTGATCACAGTGCATCTACCCGGCTTGTGTGCAGTTGAAATAATTGTAGTGATTCACAATATAAACAGTGTCTTCTTGCGTAAAAACCGGCGAAACAAGATGGTGTAGTTAACAGAAACAACAACAGGAGAGCCGTGCGAGGGAACAAATCAGCGAAACAGCATCGAAACACCCAAGGAAAACGCTCAATAACGTCGTCATGGTAACTGGCATTATAGGGATACAAGAATTAACGGGATACAGGATATTTTGGCTCAAAATTAATGGGAAACGGGATACTAAGACCCCCCCCCTCCCCTCCTTCCTTAATGGGGGCTCCATCGTAAGTGTGACATTCGAGCCCGTGAAAATTTGTCTTCGGACCGAAGTGATTCCCGGGTAGGGAGATTTGGCCGCTTGAATAATATGGAAGAGTAGGGAAACCTGATATTTAAGAATGTTTAGCTGCTTCTGGTTATGTGCTTAGTGAAGTTATTAAAGGGTGTAACATGTTGTTCATGTAGGGAATACGAGAGAGTAATTCGTTCCGCAAAAATATACATAAAAGGCGAACAGCACGAAGACATTTCGTAAGCCTCCAAAAATGGAGAGGTTGAACACCTCCCTCCCCCTCCTCCGAAAAGTTAAAAGACTACTTACAAGTCGCTGCAGAAGGCCGTTCTCCGTTTTAGTTTTATTTTTTAACATACAGCTGGGTACAGCATTCCTATGTTTGTGTTGGCGATGGAGTTTTCTGGGATTCGCCACAGAGGTGCCGCAGGAGCACTCGTTTGGACTGGTATTGCTGTGGGAAGTCAGGCGTTAGCCGGATGTGCTTACGCCATCAGAGATTGGAGGCTTCTGACCATCGTCACAGGAGCTCCTGGGATTATACTTATAGGTGGTTGGTTGTGAGTAGCTCTTTTCATTTTCAGTGCGTTGATAAGTAGGAAAGGCCCCTTTACAATGACATATTCTACTTATGTAATCCATTTATCAGCATAAGAGGTCAGCCTGCTCTCACTCTGCGCACTCGTCACATAGTTTAACCAGTTTGTCTTCAGATTACGATGCTTTCATAGGTATTTCTTGAGTTTAACAAAGTCTCACTTATTACTGAATGAATAAGGAAATTACCAACACATCTTACGCAGATTAGAGCTCAAATCTATTTCCTCTTACTGGAACTTTCTTGTATTTCCAACTGTTACAGTAATCTATTCATTTATTTCTAGCTCCTGAGGTGTTCAACACTAAATCACAATCCACCTTGTCTATTAGATTGCAGCGATTGTAAAGTTACCTATATTTTGCACTATTCCATGTCCCTTAGTTTTACTCCAGAGTCCATCCGTTGGCTCCTCAAGAAAGGTCGAGAGACGGAAGCGAGGGACATACTAAGTAAAGTTGCCAAGGTGAATGGTAAAAGCATGCCAGAAGAAGCATTACATTTGCCCAAGGATGAGAGTATAAGACTTGGTGACTTTCCTGATTTGTTTATGTCAGATGGAATGATTCACAGAACACTTGGGTCTTGGCTCATGTGGTAAGTTTTCTTCCTTATTTGTTTGCTCTCTGGAGTCAATGTAAATAATAGTTCTGAGGTAAAAAACATCAAATATACTCTAATAAAGTGTGTAATTTATTGTTATCAACTGAAATGACAACGTAAATTGGCCACTGTAAAGCTGACGTTTCGAGCATTAGCCCTTCGTCAGGATAAATTGCTCTGAAGAGGGGCTAACGCTCGAAACGACAACTTTCAAACTATTTACGGTTTCCAATTTACGTTATCAACTCAGTTGATAATACTAAATTACCCTGTTATATTCTCCCACAGACGTAGCACCACAGTTTCTTTAGAAACTTACCCCTTTATTCATCTGATAAGCTGTGCCTTGCCACAAGTCACAGCTCTACATGTCGTCTATAGGTAGCCAGCCTACTTTTTGATAAATTAAGCTGGGTAGATGACATTGTACGCGTTAGAAAACTCTGTATGCTACATAGAGTTAGCCAGGGTCATTGTCCTGAATATTTCATCTCATATTTTAAACATGTTAGGTATACACATAGTTATCGAACTAGATCTGCTATCTGTAATGATGGTTTGACACCATCATGTTAAAGAAAGTCAGGAAGTCAGGATTTTCAACTCAAGTGTATGTCGTCGATGGAATAATCTTGGTAACACATACAAAAACATAATTTCCCATTCAAATTTCAGAAAAATGGTACAGAATGATTTTATCAAAGAAGACCCTTCGCTAGAACATTTTAAGTTTAGTAGGACCTCTTTATTTTTATTATAGTTGGAAGTGTAATAATTGGTAGGATCAGTATGATTTTTTTTTTTTGTGTTTTGTTTTTGTTGAAGGCCATTTTGTATTTTACCCTTGATAAATAAAGTATTTGTTTGTTTGTTTGTGTTTGTTTGTACATCATTGCCTGCATCTGTCATTTAAAAAAAAAAAAATTCTTTGTTTCTTTTGAATCAGGTTTGCAGTATCTTTTATATACTATGCGACAGCTTTCAGCGCACCGTTTATTGGGGGTAATGTCTACATCAATGTAGTCGTTGCTGCCGTTGATGGACTAATCGCATACCCTCTATCTGCTGTTTTGGCAGTCAGGTAGTAAAATTTAAAATGAAATAAGCTAATTAACAATATGATTATTCCATCTTTTAATCAATCCATCATTAAATCAGATAATTTAGTTTTATTAAACGAGTTGAATATTAATTTGCAATTGGCCACCATAGAGAGTTTCTAAGGCTGACGCTTATAGTGTTAGCGTTTTATTCACTCTGGTGAAGGCCCAACGCTCGAAGCGTCAGCCTCAGAAATTCTCTCTTGTGGCCAAATTACATTATCAACTCAGTTGATAGAAGAAAATTATTTTTGAATACCCCACAGAGACGCACCACCCAATTTCCATAGAAACTTACCCTCTTCATCATTATATCAGTCTGTTACTCAATCAATTAACGATTTTTGTATTAGCTATTTGACAACTATATGCCAATTTTTTAGCTTTGAAATGCCATTAATGTTTTCATTACGAATTTGAACCTAACCATGATCGGATTCTTATCTTACTCCCGTAACTGTTGATGTTCATTTCCCATCTTTATATCTAGATTTCGTCGAAAGTTTATCATTGTGGTATCGTTTATTCTATCGGCTGCGGGAGCAATTGGCGCACTTCTTTTATCAGATAATGATGACGACAACGGTAAAATGAACCTTACTAATTGATGGACTTTCCAGAATCTAACAAAAGTGTAATTAAAATGAAACTTTAGAAACTGATTGTGCAGACAGCATGTGTCGAAATATTCTCAGAGTTTTCCTCCTGATCATAAATTGGGGTCTTATCCACAGACATGATATGTGCATCGTAAGAACCATGTCCGTGTAAAAATCCACGTTTTACCATTTTATAACAGGATAACGTACTGCGAAGGACCAAGATAATATAGCGGTCAAACGTCTACGCATATGCAAACTTCGTGATAGCTATGAAGTGTAATTTTATGCTGTCAGAAACAAGTTGTCGCAGAAACAGGCTAGAGAGCAATGGCCTTTAAAAAAAGTATACAACTTATTAGATGAAGCCAAAAATCGAATCGTAAATCAACAAGATGCCTGTCAGTACGGATAAGCTATGTTTTTTGAAAAGTCTCGACTTTTTCTTTTCTCTACTTTGTGTCCTTCAGCAGATATCTTTTAGCGTTACATTTTTCTGGATATTTTGCAAGAGAGCGGCTGTTTTTTTTGTTTCCTTTGAAGTTTTGCGCGGGAAATCAGCGCGGGCCGACCAAAATTTATCCACTTGCGCATGCTAGACGTTTGACTTCTGCCTTGGTTCTATGCAAATAGGAAAGGAGCCGTGCCTACCTCGGGAGGATCGCAGACCTGGACTGGGAAAACCGCCAAAATCGAGTCTACTAAGACCCAGGCAAGGGTTGATTCGACGGTCTGTTGTAACGCTTCTGCAACACTAGTTCCATTAATGATCATTTGTATCATAACTGAGTATAGCGGCATAAAGAACGATACTCTCTCTCAGATAAGAGTTAACGTTTGAATTTTGCTGCCAGGTTATCCGATTGGAAAAATCCTCATGTCCATGGTTGTTGCTAGACTTGCTGTTGTCATCGCATTCACACTTATTTACATTTTCACTGCAGAGATGTTTCCGACAACTTTGAGGTAATTAAG